CTGTGCTGTGGCCACTGGTCGGCAACACAAGCGTCAGGGCCTGGGGCACGGCTGGTCCCAACACGCCGCCACCAGGACGAGCCGAGCCGCACAGGCATGGGAGTGGCTCCCAGTGACCCCTGCTCCTCGCCGGGCGTGCAGCGTGGCCGTGTAGAAATGTTCCTGAAGGCTTGGGGTGAGCCTGGCCTGTCCTCTGGGCAGACAATGACTGGAGGTCCCTCTGGAAGCGATATGTGAGTGCTCTGGTCCAATAAATTAAAGGCAATGCCAAAGCCCTGGCAGCCCGCCTCCGGGCCTGGGCCTGAGGCCGGAGGGGCGCACCTGCCCTGGGCCAACGTGCCAATCCTTCCCCAGCAGCAGCCACGCTTAGAACTCATCATCAGAGCTGAGCAGGAGAGTCTTCTCGGTGTCGCGGGCGCCACTGAGGCTGTGGGAGCGTGAGAGGCCGTGGGCACCGCCGTGCCAGGGGGGCCCGGGCTCCAGGGTGGACTGCTGCGTGTACTGCTGGTAGGCGGGCGAGAAGTTGTGGATGGCGTCCTGCACAATGTCGTGCGGGTTCATGGTCTCCTTGAGGCTGCTGGAGATGCTCTTCATGGGGGCGCAGCGGCCTGCGGGCGGGAGGCAGCGGGGGTGAGGGGCTGGCGCAGCAGGAGGCAAGGGGCTCGGCCCCCAGGTTGTCATCCAACCACCCCTAGTCCTGGGACCCACCCCCAAGACTATGCCATCCAACCACCCCTCCTGGGACAGAGGATGGGGTTCTGCACGTGAGAAGGTGCAGGCAAAGAAACGGCCCTTCTGGCTGGGGCGCAGGGCAGAGAGCACCCCTGAAGGGGTAGAGGTAAGCAGCCATGGGGGCTGAGTTCGGCAGGTGGGACGGGCCAGGGGTGGAGACTGGCATGATGCAGGCCATGAGCCCAGAATGCTCCAGGGAGGCAGGCCAACCCAGCACGAGTGGAGGCGGAAGTGCTGGGGACGGGGCTCCTGGTGCTGGCCCTGCCCCCTCTCCTGAGGGAGTGGACCAGGGACCCGTTCCATCGGGGCAGCTGCAGAGGCTGGACCCCGGCGGAGCAGACATCTTCACCAGCTCCCCCGAGGGGCGGGAGCCACCGGCTGGATAAGCTTCTCTGATTCCCTCTCCCACGAATGGGCCCCCCAGGCCCAGCCACACTGAGAGGTGAGGGAAGAGCTCACTCGCAGCCAGGTCTTCGGACTCAAACACGCCTGCCCTTCCTGCCTCCACAGCCTCTGCCACGGACAGACATGGGTGCTGTGCCCCAGGACCAACAGGGCATATGCCAGACGACAGGCCGGGCAGAGCAGGTCTACAGAGGTGCCCGTGGTGAGGAGACGGCACAGAAGAACCAGGCAGAGAGGCGTGCCGGTGACAGGGACCAGGACTGACATGCAGGACAGACATGCAGACAGAGAGCAGAACCTACCGTAAGGACCATACGTTGGCACTGCCCACGGCCAAACCCGGGGCAAAAGCAGGGCGGGCGGGGGAGGGGGGAGAAGCAGGAGAAATAGAGAAGACAAGAGACAGCTGAGTGAACACCATGGCCCACCACCGAGGCCAGTGCACGCCACGCCCCCTGCCGCCCCCACCCCGTCCCACCGGCACCCCAGCAGCCCCAGCTTCCCCTCGGGCCTGGGCGCACTATCCACCTACAGAGGACCCCTGTGGCACTCCCACTCTCTATGGGGGAACAAAGAGTGGACACCAGAATGGGGGCCGAGTTCGCCTCCGCCCCTAAGTCAGGGCCCCCACACCCCACTTCTCCAGCCTTGCCTGAAACTGCTAAGCCTGTGCCTCGTGCTCCACAAACCTCTCCCCACTTCACAGACAGGAAATCGAGGCTGGGGCGGGGTTTCTTGTGCAGCCCCCATGACAGAGCCAGCTCTGCACCCACGCCAGACGGGAGGGCTGAGGGGCTGGGCACTGTGGTTGGCGGGCCTGTGGCCGGCAGGACCACGCGGAGGGGCAAGAGCGAGCAGCAGCTTCCCCTGGTGGGCGGGGTCCATGCACAGCTGCACGGCTGCGGGTGGATGTGTCGGGGAAGACGGCCCAGGCGTCCATTAGAGCGTCTGCAGGGCCACCACGTGCAGAAATGGTTCTTAAACACTGAGACCTTCCCAGGCTCTGGGCACAAAGGGACTTTCCCAAGGGACAGGGTCTGTCAGGACCAGGTCCAGGGGCATCGCCCTCAATACTGGGAAGCTGACCCTTCCAACTGGGGCCTTGGTGGGAAGCCAGTGGGCCACCAGCCGGCAGCGCTGAGCTGGCCAGCACAGTGCCTGGCACTGACAGTGTGCGGTCAAATATGGAGAAAGCGCCCCCAGCCAGTGTGTTGGGGAAACGCGGCCGGGCCCGCCAGAGTCATGAGGCCTGGAGTACAGGTCAGGCCCCGTACCAGCAGCTGCGCAGGCATCCTGAGGCCGCCCACCAGGGAGAGAACATGGCAGGAAGGGGTGGGAGGCGAGGAGCCCGGCCGTGGGCCAGGCGGTCCTCTATACTCTTCCCAGGACACAGCTGCCGGGGCCCGGGGTGGGCATCGGTGCTGCACCTGGCGAAGTGGGTTTCCCCCTCCAGCCCCGTGGGAAGGGAGCTGGCAGCAGCTGAGCTCCAGGGTAGATGTGTTAGACCAGGAGGCCTCCCTTCCAGGCCCTCCCACCTCCTCCCATCATCAAGCATCCCCAGACTCCTCTTCCTCTTCCCCTTGGGCATCCTTCCAGGCCCAGTGGCAGCAGAGGCACCCGGCCGAGAGCTGAAATCCCACCCTTCAGGCCCGAGCCCAGATCAATGACTGCAGAACCTCTGAGGTGGGGCCAGCACGGACTTTAAGACTCCCCAGGGGGCTCTGCTCTCACCCAGGGAGGTCAGCAAGTGTAAAAGAAAGCTGTTCAGAGCTATTGACACCCAAGTCTGCTTCTGAGAGGTAATCAGGTTAAGAAAACAACAAAACCCTTGAGAGACAGAGGATTCTGGGATAAACGGAAAACCGGCTCAGTCAGAAACCCTGAGGGACTCCTATCCTAGAATCTCTGTCCTGACCGTCCCACAGGGCACTGCGCCTGTCAACTTCGGGTACTCGAGACCGGCTGCCCAAGACAGGTGGGCCTCGCTCCCAGGACCTCCCTCACGTGACCAGGACTCCTGGCCCTTCCACCCTGCAGGACGCCGCGGGGCAGGAGGGCCTGGCTCTCACCTTGCGCGTCCAGCCTCTTGTCAGCATAGACCTTGTAGGTGAAGGCGTGCCGCAGGGCCAGTGCCGCGAAGAACATCTCCACGCAGATGATGAAGTCCTGGTAGCCGGCAGCCACGGTGCCCTCGCCCACCGACACGCGGGCTGAGTGGATCTTGGGGATGGCCCCGCACTTCTCCAGGATGGCCAGGAGCAGGCCTGGGAGCAACGTGTGGGTGTCTGGCCCGGGCTGGACCGCCTGCCCACCCCCTCCTCCTCCATGCAGCCCCCCAATGCCCGGGGCGATGGAAGTAGGGGCCCTGGTTGCTCCTGTGGGCAGCGTTGCCGACACAGGCCGAGGCCACTTGGGAACCCCACGCCCCCAGACCCTTTCCGGCCACGAACACTGAGACGTCACAGATTATGCGGGGTCCCCCGTGTCCCCCACCCATGCATCAGCCTCACTGAAGCTCTGCCCTGGCTCCTAAGGCCCCTAAGGGCCCAGACTTCTGCCCAAGTGGGCACCCAGTGGATGGAGGCCCCTTTGAGCTCCAGGCTGGGATCCCTAAGGACAACCCCATGGCCTGGGCCCCAGGGACTGGGGATGGCAGGCAGGAGGAAGGGGACGAGGTTTAGGGGACAGGGCCGCCACACGGGGCTGGGCGGAGGCTCACCTTGCCAGAAGGAGAGGAAGATAACAGACTTGACCATGAAGAACTTGAGGACGGGGCTGTAGGGGCTGAGCAGCTCCCTGGTGGCGAAGTAGAAGAGGAAGAGGGCGTAGAGGGCCAGGCTGACGGAGACGTTGTAGATGATGGTCACGTACAGGTAGCCGCTGGCGACGCTGTAGAAAGGGGAGCATCCTGGCTTGGACAGACCCCTCCCAGGGACGAGGAGCCTCCCCCTCCGTTGTCCTGCCCCTACGCCAATCCCCATGGCTCTAGCCGTGCTCCCAAGCAGTGCTCCACGAGCCACGTGGTGATCAAAGGGGCCAGAACATGAGGCGGGTGCCGGGGTGCCTGCAGCACGGGCCGGGCCAGGGCCCTGCCTCACGCAGGGGTGTCTAGCCACCTGCCCGCAGCTCTGGTGCCCAAGCTCCTGGTGGAGGACATGACACAGGCATGGAAGCCAGTCTGGCCTGGGATGAGGGCTCAGCCGATGGTCAGACAGCGAGTGTCAGAGTGACAGGAGCCAAGCCCTGCTCTTTCCAAGGTGAGCAAGTTACATCCCATGGCGCCTCCGTTTGCCCACCTGCCCTGGCGGGCTGCTGTGCACGGTCCAGTGGTGTTGCCAAGAGCATGCCAGCACACGGCCATGGGGTCACTGTCCCTCACGCCCAGTGAGAGGCCTGGGCAGTTCACCAGGTGAGGCTTTCTACCCGAGGACTCAAGGCGGGCCTCTCGGGCTCCAGCCCTGCTGCCTGCCTGGAGGGTCACTGTTCCTTCTGCCCCGGGCGTACCCCCGCCCCCTCTCCCCCCGTATGCAAAGGGGATGGATGCTGAGGGCTACTCGAGTGCCCCTGACAGGCCAGCCTCACAGCTCAGGGGTGCAGAGGCGTGAGGAAGGCTGGGAACATGCTTGGTCCCCACTCAGAGGAGGTCCCGAGGGCGTGCGTGTGCCCAGTCTGTGGCTGCCTCCTTCCCTAAGCCAGGCATTTGCCTCTGGGCAGGGACATCTACCCTGGCACCAACACTCCCCCCCACACCCCTGCGGGGACCCACTGCTTACTCAAAGTCACCGTCCCGGTACTTGCCAAAGGCCTGGAGGACCACAGTGCTGACAGCCATGAGCGGCTTCACCACGCAGAACTGCAGGGTGGCCTGGGGGAGAAGCCAAGTGTCAGGATGGGACAGACCACGTAACAGCACCTCCTCTGGCCGGCAGACCTGCTGGATGCCAGGCCTGGGGAGCCCAGGGTCCTCCCCGAGGGGACTGCTGTCTGGAGAAGGCGGAGGAGTGAGACGATGCCAGTGTGACTCAGCTGAGTGAGAAGACGGGTGTGGAGGAGGGAGGACGATGGATGGAGGAATGGAGGAGAGGAGACAGGAGATGTCCCTGGAGAAGGGGCAGCAGGAATGTGAGACAAGGGACAGGAAGAGAGGACAGCTCATACCGAGGCCAGAGGCTGAGTAGACAAGGGCACGGGTTCGTGCTGGACGGGCAGCACCGTGAAGTGGCCAAGGAAGTGGGTGGGGTGGGGAACAAAGCCGGGGCGCTGCTCCAGGGACTGGCCACATGGGGAGCAGGGTTGGACCAGGGCTTCTTCTCGTGCCCCTCGCCCACCCCCGGGGTCTGGCTCCCTGCCCCGGGCTCTGGGCCTGGGCCCAGGGTTTATATTGAGCTGGGGTCCTGCTGGGGATGGAGGTGACTTAGCAGGAGCACGGAACAGGAAGCAACCCGAAGCAAAGGTCCAGTGTGACACCCGAGTTAGAATGTTGGCCTCGCCAGCTGCCAGCGACAGAAGCTCGATCGGCAGCCACTGAGCCTCTGGCGGACGGACAGCAGCCCCCGTCACAGGGAAGCCCCTGCCCCAGGCTTTCACAATTGCCTACCGAGGCCCCAGCAAACCCCGGGGCACCCACGGCGCCCATAATATCACTAGAATCCCCTTCCTGCTGAAGTCAAATAAGTCTAAGCCACGGGGCCTTCTGTGGAGGCGGGAGCAGTTGGAAAGGCTAAGCGAGTGTGGCTCCAAACAGGGCCAGGACCCTGGAGCGGAGAACGTGGCCTGTTGAACCCAAAGTTCTGGGAACTGGAGTGAGGTTTGCAGGGGAGCCCAGTGGTCAGAGCTGTGGGGTGCCACCAGGAGAGGCGTGTGTGACGGGGCTAGAGGGGTGATACTGCTGTCACACCCCACAGAACTGCCCTGGCCTCCCCACCCCACCTGGAGGAGGCGGGACCCACACCGACAGCCCACAGGGGAGGAGCATCCCCTCGTATGGAGTGAGCCAGTGAGTGAGCGAGCTAAGAGCCCGGCCACAGGCGGTGCGCCTGGTCAGCCCCTTGATGCCCACGTCCCTGTGGAGCCCCAGACGTAAGCACTGTCCCCAGCCTGATACAGAGGAGGGAACCGAGGCCCAGGGACCCTGAAGCGCCAGCAGGAGGTCCTGCCCTGGGACAAAGCTGCCACCCCAGGGCAGGGGGCGGGGCTTTTGTTCTCTCCCCTTTTCCTACCTCTCCCAGCCACTGCCAGGAACAACGGTGGAATATCCGGAACAGCCAGCCCACAGGCCTGGGGATAATTTATAACAAGGCGGCTGGAGCTAGTGATCTGGGATCAAAACTTTGTACACAATATAATCATCAAAGAAGGCATGAGTCACAGGCCCAGGCGCCCAGCCCAGGGTAAACAATGGCCCTGAAAGGCCCCACCCTGAGCCCGGGACAGTTTAACTCTTTCCCTGCAGGTCCCTCGGGGAGACTGTGAGTTTAGAAACACCGTAAGGAAGGAAGACGTGGAAGCTGACCTGGAGGCCCGGGAGGTCCAGGCAGGCTCTGTGGGTGTGTGTGCCTGGCCCCACACAGAAAAGCCAGGCCCCAGCGGGCCAGTGACTGGCTGGGGTTCATTTCCCCTCGGGTTACTCTGGAGATGCTGGAGGGGTCGGAAGGCCCTGTGAGGCCCCGGGGGAGACTCAGTGGAGGTCGTGCTGCTGGGCATGACACCGGACTCTCCCTCCCCAAACAAGAGACGGGGGGCTCTGTGCCAGCACCTTGCGAATGCTCTGTATCCACCACCTCACCTGTTCCTTAAACCATCCCTTGGGATAAGTAACATTACGCACATTTGACAGAAGGAACTAAGGCTCAGAGAGGTTAAGTAATGACCCAGGTCACGGTCAGAGGAGAAGCTGGAAATCAAACTCAGATGGTCAGAGGCACAGGCCCATGCACTTCACCACCACACCACACCGCCCCGCCCTGCCCTTCCAGACCGCAGGGAGGGCAGCTGGGAAAACGAAAGCTGCTGCTGCCAACTGGGAAATGGGGGAGGGACTAGAGACGGCACACGCCTGGTTCGTCATGCATCTTTTTTTTTTCAATCCTCACCTGAGGATATTTTTTTAAATATATGTTTTTGTTGATTTTAGAGAGAGAGGAAGGGAGAGAGATAGAGAAATAGAAACACTGAGAAACATCGATTCGGCTGCCTCCTGCACGCCACCTACTGGGGATCGAGCCCGTAACCGGGGCATGTGCCCTGACCTCTTGGTTCATGGGTCGATGCTCAACCACTGAGCCACACCAGCAGGGCTGGTCTTGTATCTTTAATACAGAAACCCTCCTTCCCTCTAGCCCCAGCTGATGAGAAGTTTTCAAACAGAGATTCTAGAATCCCCATGCACATCCTCCGATTCTCACATACACCGAGACTTGGTCAAAAGGAGCAAGAGTCTGAGACCACTTCGTGCCCAGGACGCCTCTCACTGCCCCTTCGAGCACCCCCTGTGAATGCAGGGGCATCCCTAACTGTGTGGGGAGGGGGTGCTGGGGTTTGGGGGGGGGGGGGTTGTGGGGAAGGGGGATTTGGGGGGGGGGGGGCTTGCAGGAAATGGGAACTCCAAGGTGGAGCCAGGGCAGCCTGCGGCAGGGTCCACCCAGCTGGCCTCTGCCACCCTGTCAAGCAGGGGCAGCACAGCCCCGCGGCTGCTGCTCCAGGGCACAGACCGGGCACGTGCGGGGGCACACACCTGCTTGCAGAACCGCAGGAACCCAATGGAGTACGTCTTTCCCCAGAGGCAGCAAGTGCCATACATACAGCTGGACCTGGAAGAGACCACAGAGGGGATGGTGAGCAGAGAGCTAGGACTCGGGGAAGGTGGGGCTGGGGGATGCCCTCCCTCACATCCAGACAAGCCAGGGCACAGCAGGGTGGGGTGGGGACGGGGCCGAGAGCCCAGGAGGCTTTGAGCCCGAGGCCAAGTACAGGGAGCCAGCGAGAGCATTTGCAATTGCGGTAAAGCATGAGGGAGCAGGCTGCTCGGCGGCCCGCGGGTAACAAAGCACCTGAGAAGCACTGAATGTAAACAGTGTAAGAGGGAGAGAGAAACAGGAGAAGATGGGAAGACAGAGGAGAGAGAGCCGGGGAGGCCCTTCCGAAAGTCCCAATGAATGGCCTTGCTCGGGAAGCTCAGGAGACACAGCAGGTCAAGGCCACAGGCGCGGAGGGGCTGCATGTCCAGCGGCCGCCGGGACAGCTCGGAGAAAGGCAGGCCCAGGAAGCAGGGTGCGGGGCTGCAGGGAGCTGTGTACTCACTCGATGGGCTTCCCCCGGATCTCGGACATGATGGAACTTTCTCCCCCGAGGTACTCATAGCACAGGCTCAGGAAGTTGTAGATGACCAAGGCTGTGAAAAGAGGGTCCGGAGTAAACCACTCCCATCAACAGGACGGGTCAACAGACGGCAGAACTCTGAGCAGCAACGAAATGAAAGACCAGTCACAGCAGCAACAGAGCGCCCCGAGGGACAGAACCCGCACCGTGAACTGAACACTCCATTCTAACCAAAACCAGGCAAGACCAGTGGCATTGCTTAGGGATGCTACACACTGCTCTCACTCTACAGCATGGAAGTGATGACCTCAGAAGTCAGCTCTGTGTGGGGAGACGGGAGGACGGGAGGTTAGGGTGGGCACGGAGGGGCTTTGGGGGAGCTGGCAGTGTGCCCGCTCTGGGGTTCAACCAGGTACTGGCTTTATAATTCATCCTATGCTCTTTTCTATTATGTTATGGACCACGAATTTACAGCAAAACAATAAAACGTTCTCCAGGGGGCTCTCAGGAGACATTCTAAGCAAGAATGAGACGGCAGCACCTCCATTCGCTCACAACCTGCAGTGCACCTGAGTCTGCACTAAACACAGGGGCGGGGCGGAAAGAGGCACAAATGTCTTGAGAAGCTGGGTCAGCTCGTTCTGAGTCAGGACGCGACTGGACATCCCCACAAAGACAGAATCTGCGAGAGCGACCGCCCACCGGCAGAGAAGTGTGTTGTAAATGCTGCGCTATAAATACAGCGATGCGCTGTGATGGCTCCTGGTCAGAGATGTCTGCTGGGTCAGCAGAGCGAAGGCTGCTGCCTGCAGGTGCCAGAGCAAGGGGTGTGCCAGGAGCGAGGCGGGCGAGCGTGGAAGAAAGTGAGAGTGTGGCAGAGGACACCACAAAGGACGGGGCCGGAGGGTCGGGGCCAAGAGCAGGGAGCGAGGAGAGGCATCCGGAAAAGCATGGCCAGGGCAAGGTCAGCATGGAGCCAGAGAGGCCCCTTCTCCTCTGACCCTGCGTCCCCTGCAGCACGAAGGCGTCAGGGCTCCTCGCGCAGCCCCTGGCTTGGCACTCAGGGCCTCCCCAACGATGACGTGGTCCCTGCCCACCCCTCACTCTTCCTTCCCAGTGACGCTGGACGCCCCTTTCCCTCAGCAGGTTATTGCTTTTGCACTGGCTGTTCCCACTGCTTGGGGTGCCCCTCCCTCCGCACTCCCATCAGACACCACCTACCCTGCGAGTCTCTGGCCACCCTAGGCCAGTTCTCTCACCCACAGCCCTGATGACGTGCAGACGCTGGGCAGACCTCAACACGAAAGCCTGGCGACACAGTCGGAGGCGAACGGTGGCCTTCAACTTGGAAAGGAAGGTATCTGGGTACTTTCTGCCACTCACAGCTGCTCTAACCTACGAAAGGCTCATGTCTCCAGCTGGGGTGGGGCCCCAGGGAGCACCCTCTATGAACACGACCCATAGCACCTACCACACTGTGCTGGGACTATCCCTCAGCAGACACAGAGCAGAGGGTTTGCCGCCTGGGTCTGCCACTGGGTTAGCTGTGAGCCTCAGTTTCCTCACCTGTTAAATGGGGACGGGAGTCCCTACCTTCACAGGAGGCTGCGAGGTTGAAGTGAGTATGCAAAGTGCTCGGACGAGTGGGCAGCACTCAGCAGCGCTGTGTGTCAGCTGGTACCTGCCTGCCTCCCTCAGGGGCCAGCATCCGGGATGGGCTGGGGACCCTGTGTGCTGCCAGCCCAGCACAGGAGCAGCTCAGGATGTCTGGTGACTGCAGGCATCCCCACTGATCACTCAACGACAAGAACTACTTTGGGGTACGGGGAGGGGGCATCTAGCCAAATCTGACGTCAGCCTGCGAATGGCCTTTGTCCAAACCCACACGAGGCCACGTGGAATGGATGTGTCCATCCCAGGCTGGGTCCAGCCACATTGTGGTCGATGGTTATTTTCCAAAGATGGCCACACCCTCTGACACTGACACAACCGCTGCATACGGTGGACCGGGTGGCGCAGAAGCGATGCTGGGATCAGAAGCCTCTTTCCTTTGTTCTTTCCCGAGACGCACGCCCTTGAGCCCAGTCACGGTGCGGGAAGCCCAGGCTGACCCCCATGTGGGAGTAATCGAGGGCCCAGCAGACACCAGCACCCACTGCCAGACACACGAGTGAGTCAGATTCCAGATGAATCCGCCCCGGCCGAGACCCCGCTACCACGGGCAGGGGCACACCATGGCAATGTGCGTCCCGATGCCTGCCCGGCACTGTCAGCAGAAGCAGACGGTTGTCTTACACGGGGCTGTTTGGGATCGTTGCCTACACAGCCATGTAAGTAGAACCTATACATAAAACCACCTGAGCGTTCCCAGGGCGTGCACGCTCCTCACGCTTCCCGAGGCCACATATTCTGGTCCCTCTGCCTCCCAGAGGGACCCGCTGAGATGCTGCCTTCTCCTTGGTGGCCTCCTCTGTCCTGTTGCCAGCTCACTTCCCACACGGTGAGCTCTCTGCCCATCCGCCTGAAACTTCCAGTACAAGCAGCAGCGAAGCGGCAGGAAAGCCATGAACGCCGAGCCAGCCCTCCTGGGTGTGGGCGTGGTTCTACCACTCAGAGCTGTGTGGCCTCAGGCACGTGTCCTCAGTGCTCTGTGCTGCCAGGACCTTCCTCTTGGGGCTGCTGGGAGGACGGGTGGGGGTGAGCACAGCACCGGCCTGAGATGAGCCGAGTTCACACTGAGCAGAGTCCACAGCATGTGATGTCGTCTTTTCCAGACTGTAAAGTCCTTGCCGGTAGAAACGGAGGCCTACCCCCAATAACTACCGTACACACGGTGAACACGGTGAACACGGAAGAAATGGACGGGCATGGGCCCAGGTTCCAGGGGCTCAGAGCAGCAGGGCAGGCAGCCACGCCCACACTCAGTTCTGTGCTCCAGTTCGCCCTCTCACGGGATGCTGAACAGACTTCCCCAAGGTGATCAGACTTCCAGGCCCGAAGACAAAACCCTCCAGGGAACCCCCAGGGGCGAAGTTCATCAGCCCCTCCACACGGAACCACTCTCGCAGCCAGGCCTCCTGCCATCCTCGGAGAAGAGCCTGGCGCCTGAGCTCACATCCTTTCCTTATCACATACGTCCGCATGCAGCCAAGCTCTGTGCTCAGCTGGTCAGAACTGTCAAATCTCATCCATCTCTCAGCTCAAGATTCTCGACCTTTTACCAGTGCTCTGGCCAGCGAGTCTGTATAACACCAAGTTGGTGACGATGTCCGTTAAAGAATGAGTGAGTCGATAACGCGTTCTCAGAGAAGGGAGGCAAGACAGACTGTCTTCCAGATGGTCCAACCAGCCCACACCAGGACCATCTGGACCAGCCAATCCCTCACCAGAGAGTTACAGAGCCACCCCAGCACCCGGCCAGGGTGTTCACAATGACAAGTCAACACACCCCAGGAACCAACACAAAGATATGCTGCCCTGGGCATAGGGAAAGCAGCTCAGCAGATTCGCAGCGAGGTTCTCAGCCAGCAGCCTTGTTGCCTGACTTCCCCCTGACCATGGTTTCAGTTCTGGCCCCTGGGAGGCCTCAGAGAAACAGAGTAACTCTATGCCCCCTAAATGTTCACTACAGCCTCTGTGCTAGGCTCTGTGCTGGGCCCTGGGGACACAGAAATGACCAAGGGGCCCACAGACAAGGCCCTCCCGTGTGAAGGAGAGCGTCCAGAATGAGGGAAGGATGGTGTCTGTCTGTCTGTCTCAGTCTCCTGCTCTGGAGAGTGAGGTACCGGAACTTTGGGCTCCATCCTAGGCACCTAGAGAAATGCACACAGTCAGGAGAGCAGGACAGGGTGGAGATGAAATGAGGGTTGTCCTGGGTCCTCGAGGCCTGGAGGGAAGACACTGGCACTCACTCTCTTCATCTGTGTGCCAGTGACCTTGTCCAGAAGGTCAGACAGGACCCGCTTAGTCCCAGGGGTGGATCCTACGACTTCTGCTCAGTATAAGAAACTATTCCTAAGAGGCAGTCTTCAGAGGGGCAAGGTAGTGAGCTCTCTGCTAATGGAAGCATGCAATCAGAGCTAGGCCCTTCCACACGGGCCACAACCAGGGCATGGCAGCCACTTAAAAGACATTAACTATAAAGGGGTCTGAGCAGCTGACACTTTACAGGTCCCTCCTTTCCAACCCCAAGATGCCTGACTTTCTCTCTCACCGGCAGCAGCAGCGTCTCCAACCGGAGCAGCAGGGACAGGAAGCTGTCCTCCAAGAGACTGTTCTCCACCCTGCCCC